AGAGAGAGAGAGAGAGAGAGAGAGAGAGAGAGAGAGAGAGAGAGAGATGTGGCCTCCGCTGGACTGGTTCACTGGTTGCGGTTGCACTAGCTGCGAATTCTAATTGCTATCTTGCCTCCGAGAATCCAGTTTAGCTGGCAACGTTTCTACCGATTGAAACGCTCCGATGGGTTTTGCGGTTTGTAGAAAAATTCCTTCCTGCATCTCATTCGTGAGCGCCGATTTCTATCGACGTGACGAATTTCTGCACGATAAATGGCCCGTCGTCCTGTTCCGCAGTCCAAGTCCATTGCCGAATCGTGAATATCCCGAGCCCCACTTCCGATCTGAATTTTTTAACGTCTGTATATCCTGAAGATGTATGATGTTGAATGTACCTGAAATTAGATGGAAACTAAAATCTTACATTGAGAAAAAAATACTTAAAGTTACTTAAAAATACTTAAAGTTTAATCGTAGGATGTAAAATTTATTCGCAGAAATAAACTTTATATCTCACAAATAAATTTTCAATTATTTTTCTTTCTCCCTAAAGCTTTTCAAAATTTTTGAGAAAATATATATTCTTATATTTGAAAAATATTTTGTGTTTTTTAGTACATAAAAGTAAATATGTTATATTTATTATTATGTTACATATACGACGTTCATTTTGAATAAATATTTTTTTTTATATTTTTTTCTCAGTGTAGATGTGTTAAATAGAATTGAGGTAGAAAGGAGTAGGATTAAAATTTCGAAGGCTCTTACGTAACATTGCCTACGTTCCTTTTTCGCGAAATTCAACCGTCCATTTTTCTAATTGCGTGGTGCAGTTGCACCAGGATTCTATGCCGTTGCTACGGGACAGTCACGAACTATCGATCCTTGTAGAAACATAATGATGGTGATAAATCCTTTGGAGAAACGTATAGTTGCTTTTAACTATCGTAACCATAACGCGACTGAAAAGTACATAACGGGCAGCTAATTATTTGCGGTTATGCGAATAACCGTGGGCCGAGTCGATGTGCAAGAAAGCATCGTCCGAGAGTGATTGCTTCGCGAAATCCTCCGTCGTAAAATCCGCTCGTTCGCCGGACGACGAACTTAATGCGACTCAAAAGCGTAATGTATAATCGCGCAAAATGAGGAGTGAGGGGGGTAGAGAGTCGAGGTACCGATCGGCCGGAAGTACACGCGCCGTCTGACGTGAAAGGAACTAAATCCTAAGACAGTTCAAGAACTCGTGAATATTTTCAAGGTAACATACGCGCGTTTAGCGTGCGAGAATTTGTTTCACCGGAGTTCGATCGCGAATATCGATCGAGCACGAGATTTTAGCACGCGACATGGTCAAATCATGCAAGTGTTCGGGAGAATTCACACCTTGGCAGAAAGCAGAAAGTGCCAATCAGAACTCGCACCGGTTAGATCCCGAGTCGAAATCTCGATTTTACTTTTGATCTCAATATCCCATTTAAGGTCTACTTTGATCTTCTGAAACTTCTTTTGATTCTATTTAAGCATCCCAGACAGACTTTTATGATTATCACAACATAATGAAAGCTTTTCAATTCTTTTTATTACGTTTATATGAAGTAAATTAATTTATTTGAATAAATTATTGAATTAATTATTAAATTTGCATCATGCAACCATGCAAAATTTTTGTTGTATCGATGCATCAACAAATTTACTCAAAGTTACATTAAGATTTTCATATTAAGTTTAACACGACGTATTGTTTGACGCAAATTTTAATCGTCTTTTTTGGATTTCTATTTCGCCACTCTGTGATAAATATGAATGCAATCTGATCAGTCACAAAAAGGATTCGACGTTACTGAATTTCGTGATATAATATACTTAAAGTTTACGTACATTCTCAATCTATCAGAGAACTAGCTTTACCAAGAGGCCATTTTTAGAACAAGCGGCTTTTTGCGCGTTTGCTGTTATTTAGAAGCGCTAAGTAGAACTACCGTTTCCGCTTGCATTTAACACTGATTCTTCGGGATATGCTAATTCAAAGGTCGAAAGTAGGATTAAAATTTTGATTTTAAATGTGGTAATCGGCAGTTCCTACTTTTCTATCAGCGTGGATTAGTTTTTGCCTTTCGGCTTTCTGTTTTTCCGCTAATGTGCAAATTCCTCCTGCCGCTTTCTTTGAGATCACCCGGGTTCAACGTTATGCGGATGGTATCGGAGAATCGTCAAGATATATTCTATCCGCCGTGGATAGAGCGGATTAAAGCGTTTCAGGCAAGGTTAGTCCTTGATTTTGCTACCGGTTCAGTATCGCGGCACGCACAATGATCAGGATGACTTGCGACGTAGATCAGTGATCGAGTGTCTCGCGGAGATATCAGCTACCGCTCCGTCATCGTCCGTGCAATAATTCAAGGTCGTCGGTACAAAGTTAATATATCTTGCTACGTATCTACATTATATCACTACCTTCTTTTTTTTTTCTTTCGCCGATCCGGTCGACCGAAGGAGATCAACGACATTACGTCGCGCGAGGTCGATCGTCTTTCTCTTTTCTTTTATGTCACTTTCGCTCCCTACCGCTCCCTTTCCACCGCCGTCCAGTTTGTTTGTGCGCTTTTATGAGCGCGTTACACGTCATGATTAATCGATCTTTCTCCGTCGCAAATGGATCGTCGAAATAGTCACGTTGTAGCCAGTTTGTAGTCCACGTGTATTAAAAGCCTCGCGACTTTCGAAGTCCAATCGCGGCCTCGAAGTGAACACGTTGCGAGCGCGTTTTCGGCGAAAGTCGATCTGCGTTTTCGTTCAATCTGCGACCGTGGTCGTTGATCGCGAAGCAGCACGCTATGTGATAATTGTGTCAGAAGGTATATACTCTCTTCATCTCGCTTTGTCGAGAGAAATTAACGTCATAACTAATGACGAATCGAGGACAAGGACGACAGAGGCGATAAAGAATGGCAACAAAGTTGCGCACAATGTCGGACGGGCTAGGCTGTTTTTGATCTACCCTTAATTTTTCCCGATTTTTTTGCAATTCCTCCCGAGACTGCTCTTCATGGCTGATCGACCGGAGTCTTTAGAGTCGGTCGGTCGAGTCTCCAACGGGCGGCACCCGCGTTTGATGTCGTGTGACGAATGTCCGCGTTGGACGCGCTCGCCCTCCTCCTCCTCCTCCTCCTCCTCCTCCTCCTCCTCCTCGTCCTCCCTCTCTGCCCTTCGCCCCGCGTTTCTATGCTCCTCTTTCTTTCGTACCCATTTCGCTCTCGTATCTCCCTTCCTCCCGTCCATTCTGCGATCCCTTCGTCGCGGTTCATCTCTCGCTCCTCTCGCACAAGAGAGAGAATCCCGTATGACGGACTCGGTTGAGTCTCTCTTCAGGAGCGCCAACAGAAAATTGGAAACATCCGATAGGGCCGCTATGCCGCGGCCGCACGATAAAAAGGTACGTGCCGCGCCGCCGTCGGAACCGGCCTGCAAAATATGCCGATCCGTCGTGGATCCACGCGGAACAGTCACGCGGTTAGACTCTATGCACCTCTGCAGATTTCGCAATTTTGCACCTTCGTGCCTGATCCTTCACTTGTTTGTGTCTTT